TACTACGTAAATTGAAAGCCTTTAGAGGGCAAGAGAAGTTTCTATTCAAATGCCTTTAAAGAGCTCATGGTCTTGACTGGGAGAGTGGAGTGCTTAATAGGTTATTTTTTTATGATAATGATGGTAACTATTGCTCAAGCGTCCATTTCCCCTTTCAGTAAACATGCCCAGCTCTCGAGGCTGCTGACTCCTGCTCACACTGCCCCCAGCGCAGAAAGTCCAGTCCAGACTCCCATCCCGGGCAAGCCAGCTGGCACCCTCCGAAACCAGGAAAGGAAGACGTTCTAGTCCTTGCTTAGGGCTGATCAAGCATACATTCCATGCCTGTTTCGTAAACTCTGCAATTAGCTTTCCTTCCAAACATGATCCCCTAAAACCCTGAGAAACAAAAATAATTCTACCACATGCTTCTCTCTGGACCTTTAAAATAAGCTAAAATGTTTCTTCCCCAATAGGTAATGTGCTATCATTCGTGCTTTACGAAAAGGCAAAAAGAAAAAAAAAATACATTACAACCATCTTTTCCAAGATTTACATTTTCTTTAGGAAAAGAACAAGATGCAACAGGGGTCTAAAAGTGTTATGAGATTATGATCATTAAGAAATCCTTGCCTCTTTAAGACCTTGAGCCTGGGAATTTTGCTTTCAAATTAGGTTTCTTGAAAAAAAGGAAACTCTGGAGATAAGGGGCTCTTGTAGGCACAAAAAGAGCCTAAAAGTGGACCTAAAGGAAAAAAAAAAAAAAAAAGGTCAGTGATAAACAGGATTTGGGGCTGGTCTAAATATCTGAAGGGTCACAGCTGCCTGACCCCCAAATCAGAAAGTCGTCTTCTAAGAGAGGAGACAGGATCATCAAACAGCTGCCTGAGAGCAAATTAAGGAAGATCTTTTCTAAATTAAATGCTGAATACTTCCCAGGCACTATTCTAAGTATTTTATATGTATTATCTCATTTAAACTGCGCAACTATCACAATAGATCATGATTTTAGTCTTTGTCCTTTTACAATTCATAAAACCACAGAAGCGAAAGATTAAGTAAAATGACTAGTTTTAATTTAACTAGAATGACACAATCTAACTATGCTTGTAACCACCACACTTGAGGTCTCTCACTCCTACATCTGCACCCACCTCATATAAATCCAGAAAGGTGCTCTATGGGGATTTCCATAGAGATAACAAACCTGAGGAGAGAGCAGGAACAGAGTGAGGAGGGAACAGGAACAGACGAGCAGTCAGAGACACAGACAGAAAGAGAAGGGTGCTCTTTTCCACAAGGTACCTCAGCCTGGAATGAGTTCAAAAGGACAGTGGAGGTCTCAGTGAAGGCTCTGACTCACCCTCATGGCTCTTTGGGAAGCAGTCACCTACTCCCACTCTCGAAGATTCCCAACACATCTTGAAGAAGGAGAAGACCATACGTCTTCACCCTTGTAAAGAATGCTGAAAAAACCTGCATGGTAGGTATCTGGCTGCACTGTGTATTTGAAGTATACTAGTAAAGATTTTAAGGAGAGCTGCATATAGATTGCGACATGTGTAGGTTGAATGAGTCAGGAAGCCATGCACACTGAATTAACAAACTTAGCCCACGCAAAAAAAAATTCAGTACAAATATTGCCTAAGTGTACCCATTCTGGGCTCATACTTTGGTTTGCCATTTTTGCGTCTACTGATAATGAAGCATTTTATAAATGAAATTTTTCAGTGAGCAAAATATAGCTCTCTTCTGCTTTGAAAGTTCATTTTGAGAGGCCTTTCCTATGTGGCGCATCATCACATTGAACCACCAATGTGTGCAAAACTCTGTGATAGGTTCTGTGGCAGACACAGAAACTAAAGACACAGAAACAGATGGGAAAAAAAGAGTCTGAACAGAGCTTGCGTAAGATGGGGAGGCGACGCACGAGCAAAATATTGTAAGGATGTGCCACAATATTTATTCTTTGACATGTAGTATAAAAATATTACTAAACTGTGTGATTGTTAATTCCTATAAAATAATAGGTGAAAACAATGTAATTGGTTCCAAACAAAATTTAGTATCTTCTCTCAACTAAATTTTACCTACAAAGCATTGTAGCATTTGCAGAGAAACAGGATGTTAAAAGGATGGTTCTGGTTCAATTGCTTGTTAACTGTGTTAACTTAACGAAATTATTTAACATCTCTAAGACTCTTTCCTCACCTAATCATGTAATGAGATAATGTGAGTGAAAGAATTTTTAAAGAACTATGCAAATGCGTTGTCTGTGCCCAGCAACTAATTTTTAATATTCTAATTGTTACTAGAAAAACTAAGCTGAGAATCTATAATTATCCATGAATATTTCTTAATACAGTATGGAAATTACTTCCCCCAGAATTATATGAATGCTTCATATTTTTGGTTCATATTTATTGTATATATAAAACCTTAAAAGTACTCTATTAACTTAAAATGTTTTCCAGTTTTATTGAGGTATAATTGACATGTAACATTGTGTAAGTTTAAGATGTACAATATGATGTAAATATACACATATATATAGAAAAATGATTATAAAGGTAGGCTTTAAATGCCTCTGCACAGTTACTAATTTAAAGCAACTCACAAATTATACATTTAATCCTAAAAATATAAAGGTTTTTAGCGTTTTTAGTGACCATCCAATTTTGTGAAAATCAAGACTAAATCAAATGATTATATCTAAAGTTACAAGAATAATTTTTCAACGTGTTTAACTAGAAGAAAACAGGAAGAAACCATCTGGGCATAAAACTGATAACTGCTAGGATTAATACTATTTCCAAATTCAACTTCCTTAAAAATAAATCACGTTATAATTTAATTAGGTTTCCATCTAGAGAAAAAGTGCTAATAAAAGCTCAGATAAGAGAAAGCAGGCTTGGACAATAGGTTTAAGAAGAATCCACATAATCATAGGGCTTAATTTTTTTATCTACAATTCAGCTCAAAGTCATTAGAACGACTTTAATATCAAAGAGCTTCAGTGAGTGACAAGAGCAAGACTTGCTTTGTGCTGTTTAAAAGTCATTATTCCATGAAATAACTTTAGCCTGCCAAGATGAGAAAGAATAACAGATGCTGTTTTTGCATTATCTGCATTATTTCAGCCAGCCAGCCTTAGACATTTGGGTCAAATTTCTGGAAATTTGTTTCTTGCATTTGACAGAGGAATCATGTATCCTCACCTCTCAGTGTGACCTTTCTAATTGGCATCCATTTGTAATGCTTCGAGTTCTGTGGCAATTACCCTGAAGCTGGCCCAAGTTTGGTCTATTTTTTGCATGTACTAGGGCATAAGTCAGAACAATTAAAAAATTAAGGTGCTTACCCAAAACAAAGCAATAAGAGAAAGTTTCTTTACATGCACCACACTTTATTATGATGCTTAGATTCCAAAAGTGTTTCAATTTTTTACAATCTTAAAGTAGACTGGGGGAAAGGGTTGTGTTCAGATGCGTTTGGTCATTGTTTTCTATTCTGCATGCGGATTCTTTAAAATCAATTTTTTTTTTTATAAAATGGCATGTCCTACTTTTCCACAGTGATGCAGAAGTTTGCCTCTTAAGATAAATAATCAAAGAGTGATTACTTGATGAAAACCATAGTAGAGCTTGCTAGAATACAATCACCACCTCAGAAAATGAAGTAGGTAAACCTTTTTATAATTCTCGCAATGGGTGATTAAAGAGATTAGCAAAGGTTTTCCATTTATCTCAACCAACTGAGTTTTAGAATCTATTATATTTAGTTTGCCATATAACAGATAGTATTTCTTGCGCACTTACAGTGTACCAAATACTGTTTTAAAAGCTTTAAATGTATTATCTCATTTAATCCACAAATAACTACACAAATAGCTTGAATTCTGCTACCCCCTCCAAGAGGTATTAAAAAATCACCTTGAGATGCTAGAAAAAAGAAAACTGAAATTCTTACAAATTGAACCAAGTGAAATTCTCACTGAATTTTTTAAAGTTCTATAGGTAAAAAATCATAGATAGTAAGTTTCAATTGATTACACTCCTAGCTGAAAGTTCCTACATACTTCAAACACTAGAAAGTGATATTTCTCCAACTCATTCAGTAGGAATTAAAGAAAATAAGAAGTGGAGGACTAACGCTAAATGATAACTACTTTGTACAAATGACCTAATATGACAAAGCTACAGAAAGAGCCTAAGTCACCTTTAAGTGCTGCGCATATGGACCTAATACAAGTAAACCAAACCTGTGAGTAGAAAAACTAAGTTAAACATATTTGTTATCTTTAAAAAGTTTTGATGCTTCCCAAGTAATCAGCATTTTTGGAAAAAAAAAAAAACATAGAAATCTTTAATTTGTAAATCAGTTACAACACATATATGTGGCTTGTAGAAATTTTTGAGTACAAAATTAGTCTTCATAATTTTGAGAAGTATTCTATTTAATGCAACAAAAATACAAAATGAGAGTTCCTCAAATGAATAAATTAAATTTCTCCAAGAAACAAAAATCTTCTCCTTATTGGTTTCTCTCCATACTTACTGATGTGAAAATAGGTTATATTACTTTGGCCTAATTTGTGACATCATGAATAGCTTGTAAAATTGAATAAGAACCTAATCTACTAAAAATGCACACACAGCCACCATAAACATGTACATTTTAAATGTTCTATATTATTTCCATGATATTTCTCCTCAGTTGGGCCAATTTCAATAAATGAAAAATGGCAATCAATTTGAGAGTGCTATTTTCAAATACATTCACCCTTAAAAAGTTTTGTGGACTGTGTATTACCTCTTCAAGTAAATAAAATATAAAAACGGTTACTTGCAACAACATGTACAATCACCTTGGTTAAATGTACATATAATTAAAACACACACACACACATTAAGTCCTCTGAGCAAATTGTCCCTCTACCAATGTAGAAAATCGCTTCATTCCATTCTACAAATGTGAAATCTCCGTAACACCTTGAACAAACATAAAGCGGTTCTACTTACACTTGCATGGAGTTTTCCTTTTTTTGACATCGCTAAAAATTTGTTGCTGAAAACTCCTCGTATTCCTACAATCCCCTGAGACACAGCAAATATTTCCAAAATACCTAGGATGACAGAAATCCCAAAATAAAACACAGACTCCTCCATATACCATTGTGAAGAATTAAATTTCTACACAGATTCTTTTCATTCTTTATAGTTTTGATTAAAAAAAAAAAAAACCCCAGTATTTAACATCCTTATTTTCCATAACATTCATTATGTTAAAAAAGAAAAGCCTAGCAGTCAAGTGTTCATTTAAAATAACAAATTCTAATATTCAAAAATTTAGTCCTGGTTCATTAATAATTCTTTTTTCCCTTACAAATAATAAGTCATTTTTAGTAAACAATGTTTAACAATAGAAATAATCTTCTCAAGTTGTAAAGGAATCGGAAATTTCTTTAAATGTTTTTCAAAAGAATTCCCATCCATTGTTTTCTATCAGAGATAATATAATGCTTTTAATATTGAAGCTCATAAAGTTTGGACCCAATACTAATAGAAACTTGAAAGCCAGAGACAAATAATACTTACTTACATGAACTAAATCTCTCTTCCCAAATTGTAATAACTGTACAAGTACAAATCAATATATACCATATTCAATCATTCAGTGAGTAGTTCATTTAAAGACTACACATAAAAAGTTGTTGAAAGCATTATAAATAATTTGGGATTATTGGCTCAATGAGTGTTTAATGCACTATGGTTTGAGACATCTTGTATTTTAAATGGCTTTTCTGGCAAAAAAATTAATAAGGTATTTTATTACATTATCATTTATATTTAGTATTTCATAGTTAACATTATCAAGTCAACATCCCTCTGTCTCCTATAATAATTTGAAAGTCCAGGGGCGCCTGGGTGGCTCAGTCGGTTGAGCGTCCGACTCCGGCTCAGGTCATGATCTCGCGGTCTGTGAGTTCGAGCCCTGCCTCAGGCTCTGTGCCAACAGCTTGGAGCTGGAGCCTGTTTCGGATTCTGTGTCTCCCTCTCTCTCTGACCCTCCCCCATTCATGCTCTGTCTCTCTCTGTCTCAAAAAAAATAAATAAACGTTAAAAAAAACTTTTTTAAAAAAAGAAAGTCCACATCCACTGTGTCATGAGAATCACATACCACAGTTTACAGAGTATTTTAGAAGATGAAATTTATAGTCTGTATATAACTGGAATTCCTGCCTGTTTATCGTAAACTCATACATAATGTTATATGAACATGAAAAAATGGTAGTGCTTTTTGTTAATTGCCTACATCAAATTGCAAAAAATTGGGGGGGGCGGGACAAAATAATATGGTTCACTATAGCTAAAAAGAGACCTGTCCTAGGAAGAAAGGAAGGAAAGAAAAAAGGATGGAAAGGAGAAGGGAAGAAAATCTCAATCTTTCAATCTATTATATTCTGAACATATATACTAATCAGGATATCTTAACAGTATTCTGCTGAACAGATAAATTCACCAGATTTTCTTAAAATAGCAACCTCCCCTGCAGTATTGGAAGTACATATAAAATTATTTCACTTATTAAAAATGTAGTATTGAGAATAACCATATATATAAGATATATACATATATATGAATATATTCATTGGGTACTTTTTTGCACAATGTGAGCTTATACTTATAAATATAGCAAATACTGCTGCTTATTTATTTATTCAACTTGACTTCTTAAAAGCACTTGATTAGAAAGTTCATGGGGGAAAAGGGTAGCGGAGAACTACTGTTTCTGTTAGAAGAGTATTTAGTCCAGAGTAAATAAAGCACATTTCAAGAAAACTGCCACTACCACTTTTATTAGTAGATGTTTCTTAAAAAAAAAAAAAAAAAAAAAAATTATTAGGAAGGAACTAGTTTTGCTTTTAGGAAGAAATTCCGAAAGAAACTGTCATCTCATAAATTATTTTCTTCAAAATGTTTTCAAAATGCTCTTTTCAATAGATGTTGCCATATAAGTTATTTGTGATGCGCACCCAGAGATTTTGAAGCACTGCCATTTTATCAAATAGTGACAAAGCACACATAATGCTTTGTAAAGTTAGATACAATGTACAATGCAATATACTGTAATAATATAATTAATAAAGCATAAATAGAACATGATACAAAGTTATATATATACAATTACAGAATGATATTAAAAACAGCATTGATGATTTTAGATATTTGGAAGATGGGGGTTATGATTGTGAATGCTGTGTAAACATGTGTTAAAAAGCAAGAAATGGAAACCTGATAAGTTGTCTAAGTGTGGAACAATAGAAACAAAAGAGACAATATGGGATTGGTGGAAAAGGAGAGTCGGTTGTATGTTTTCCCCCAATTTACTCATGGTTCTACATTGTTAGAGCGTTTTTATTCCATTCTACAGAAAAGCATTTGACTTTGTAAATGCAAACCTGCATGTTAGCGAAAAAATACACCATAGCATAAAAGATAAAATTCTTATTGGATACATATGTTTATAGGTTAATATTTGAAAGATCAAGACAAAGGCTCTAGAAATACTTGTTTAATGGGAGCATTAAGGCTTTGTCTATGTGAGCTACAACTTCTGACCATAACATATTCTATTTTTAGAAAAACCTATTTTGAGTCATTTAACTTGTTTCCTAACACACTGTACATTCTGTGTGTATATGTTGTGTAAACTTTCCATTGTGATAAATTAGATGGGAGAGATAAGATAATATATGTAAAATGTTCTTATTTTATTATATACTGCATGGTTTCTTTTCTTGCAAGTTCTACTATAAAAATGATATTTGTCTGAGAATGAATGGATTTTATAAGTTTTTTAAAGTTATATTTAATTGAAAGCTTAAAAATATACCTTCACATATATTATTCTATTTAAAATTATAAAGAATGCAGGAAAGATAAAAGATGAGATCAGATAAAATAACACATAAGGCAACTTTGGGATGATCTTCTAAATCTTAACATAATTATGATGTAATATTGGGAATGCTATTAAGATCATAATTTCCAAAGTAATTTCAACAGTAATTTCACAATGTCTTTTTTACTAGAATGTTGGAGCAGATTCTACAAGCCCTACAATTCAGCTTCCTGACCCCACCTCCAAGAGATCACACCATTATTGATTTTACTATGCCAAATCTCAGTAACTCACTAAAGAGTCCTAAATATTTTAAACCCATATGCATTAAATCACACATATAGAAATCCCAGAAAACATTTCTCTGAAACTAAATTTTTCTCAATTTCAGTAATTTCCTGACTTTTACTAGGATCCAATAACAATAAATTTTATCGGAATTTACAATTCACATTACAGATACCAGGATGGTATCCCTAAAGCAAAATTCTGGAAGGCTAAGTGTATCTCACAGACCATAGAGAGCCAATACATGTTTGCCAAATTGCATTGTTTTCTTTGACCTTGTCACTACCTCTCTTTCCTTTCTCAGGACACCTGCACATACATACAGACACAAATGAGCATTCGTACGGACACAGGTTTCACTTTCCTGCAATTCTGGTCCTCTCCTACTTAGGAAGTGGGGCAAGGAGAGAGGATCAGTATAATTATTTCACATTAAGGTGCTAGAGACAATGTGTTATCTTTCCGAGGGAGTTCGCATGCAAGAGGATCAAAAGAAAAAAGCAGTGCTGAACAGAAGGAACTATTTTTCTCTTGGTGTAATTTGGGGGTTGACATCTAGATTGAAGGAGACAAGAATTTATACACACATTGTTTAATCCACTTACTTGCAAGCATGGGCATATATTACAAAGTAAGTTTTTTGCAAAAAGAAAATATATGTCTACATTTTTACCTTAGTCCCCTCCAGAGTTTTTAATACAACAGGACTCTATTAATGGTGGTTGATAAAATCACGCAGATTTCTCACTTTTCCCATCTCTTAGTAAATAACATACTAGAATGACATAGATATCCCATGTTCAGAAGCCCATTTGAAAATCCTCAAAGAAAAATCATTTAAAATGGAAGTTTCTCTACTTGTGTTCACATAGACACAGATGTCTGGGTATCATTATCAAATCTGAGTCTTAAAATGCCCAGTGTAGCAGACCTTGATGATTAAATCAGCAATAGAAAATTTCCATTTGAGTTTTTCTGTTCAGTAGATACAGATTCTGGGGGACTATAGAAAGGTTGATTCTATAGGACACTAAAATTGATAGTGAACTTCAATGTTTAAAAATTAGTAAAATTGAGGATTCAGTTTAGTCAGAATATATGATTGTAATTTTCCTATTTTGTGTGAACTTTGGCTTTGTGCAGCCATAACCTTCAACTTTTGCTCCCTGAATTGAGAATTACTTGACTGCCTATTCTTCAATGGCCCACCATAAGTCAACAGAAGCTTTGAAACTAAACTTGAAAGCTCATGAATTAAAGCAAACCCTTTGTTTCTATTCAATAATTGGATTTTATCATCTGTCTTGTCTTGTCCATCTTTCTTCATTCTTCCCTAGTATTTCTTCATAATAAGAATGTTATGAGCTTGATTATTTTTTTCTGTGTCCAAAACTTGGGCTAACTACTGTATAAGAGAAGGTAAGGACATATTAAGTGGTATGCCTTAACCAAATAAACTGTGTTTCAAACTTTATGGCCTGAGTGTACTTCTGATGGTGAAACTAGAAAACATTCACAGTTTGCCGAAATTTTAACATCAAATGATAGTTGTAAAACATATGTATATGTACAGATATATGTATCTGTCCTGACAAACATTACAGAAAATTACTGAGTTTAAAAGAACCATTTAGACTGCAGTTTGGTGGCAAAGTTTTGACTCTTTCTGAAGTAGCATGCTGTGACCAAAATAAGAAAAAAAAAAAAAAAACCAACTGTAAGTTCTCTATCATTGCCAACTCACAGACAGTAAAATGAGATGATGAGGTACCTCTATGGTCCTTTTTGGTCCAGCTTTCAGTGTCTCTTGTGAGACTTACACAATTGTTTCCTTGTGTACTCTAACCAACAGTCCATGACCAATGCTTTAGTCTATGTATGTGTCAGGAAACTGTCAAGTGCTGCTTTCAAAGAAGTAGATGACCAGCCAACAATTAGCGGGCTTCTGATTCTCTTTCACAGATATTGAGGGCAGAGACTCACTTGAAATTTCCAAATTACGTGCTCCCCCACTACACATGACATATTTCATAAATTCCTCATCCACCAGTGGTAGAAAAATCATAGTTAGTAGTGTTGGACACTCCAGACATCACGAAGCAGAAAATCGCTGTGATTTAAACACTTAAGTTATGGTTTTCCCTGCGTGAAACAGCTATGGAAGGCAAAAACAAATTTTAAAAAATCCTCCAACTCCCAAAAGCAATCGAAATATCAAGCTTGATGAATTAAGTAGCCTATTATAGGTGCATGAATGAATGAATGAAGAGTGAGTGAAGAATGATGGCAAACCATATGAAAGATACAGACTAAACCCTGAAAGCCTATTCTAACCTGGAATGAATTAGGAAAAGTATTAAATTAAGGAAGTTTTATTTAGGCACTGTTTTGTAAACATCCCTGTTCTTTTTAAGTATCTTTCAAAGTGGATTTTAAAATAAATTGTATCTTGGAAAGAAAAGATATTGGTCAATGCCTTCTTTAGCTGAATGTATTCTTTGCTGGTGGGTTCTCACTTTCCTTTATCTGCTTTTCTAGAACTTCCCCTCTGGCAAGGCCTAAGGTGCAGAATCTTTGTCTTTTCCAAGAGAAGAGAGAAATATCTTGGGAATGAATCGGGTTTTCAGAGATCCCTACTACACCAAAACCCACCAAAGACACATTCTTTTATTCCCCTGAGCCCCAACCTGCAGCGTGGTGCATGCTAACTTTGTGCCTTCCCTTGGGAACACAGAAGTTATCTACTGCTGGTGCTAATTTCCTGGGTAAACTACAAGAGCATAACAGAAAAAGGTTTCCTGAAAAAGAGAGGTGGAAAGATTACTAGAAGCGGGGAATGAGCTCTGGTGTCTGATGGACTCAAGAGTTGGGTGTGGGGAAATGAGAGAGACAAAGGGAAATACTGAAATTAACGTGACTCTCCCTGCCCCTGAAATCTTGGAAAATTCCCCTTCACCCTAACAGACCTTGCCCTTTATCTCCAAAGACGGTGAGTTGTTTCATAAAAGTGAAATGAACCTTGAAACGTAGAAACAGCCTCCCCCACGGGGCGCGTGGGAGGCCCCGGGGAGGAGCCCCCTCTCTGGTTCAGGGGGTTACCACGTGTAACACCTACCACGTGTAACACGGCCAGCTGGAGCAGCATAGCTCAAAAGACGGGTGTGGGGCAGGGGCGGGCGCGAACCGGCAGGTCTTCCACATCCCGCCTCCTGTCCCCTCCGGAGGAGGCTTGCCAGCAGGGTACCCTATGGACGCGACACCTCCAGCCCCGCTTGGCAAGCGGCTCCCAGACTGCCTGCCCTGCTGGGGCTTCCGCGCTCCTCTGCAGCTCCGGTAGTCAGAAGCCCACTGAATGGCCCGTAGGGCTGTGGGTTTGAAAGGAAGCAAGCTAAGTACATCTGGGAGCTACCAGGCGGCCACACGGAGCCAGGTGACCTTACGCAGCGCGATCTCCTGGCCCCGTTCCCGCTCTTCCTGATTATCTCGCAGGCCCCTGCTGTGTCTATCTGTTGGATTATCGCTGGATGAGCGATCTGGCCCAACCGAGGAAAAGCCTCAAAGAGATCGCCCCGGTCTCGCACACACCCCCAAATCATCTCTCCCCTTGGCTACCTAGAGGCGGTGAGAGGAATCAGAGGCGGGGCAGCCAGCGAAGGTCTGGAAACACAGATGGCGTGGAAGGAAAGAGGCAATAGGAAGAGAGGGGAAAGACAGCTAAAGAGAAAACTCAGAAAGAGAATGTAAAACTTAGCTAAAAAAAAAAAAAAAAAAAAAAAGCTTAACACGATGTACACCTGTACGGAATTGAACCTCCTCTGACCTTCTTCCAAAATAAAGAACTTTTCCTTAATCGTCCTTGGGGACCAAAGGCTGGCCGCTTCCTAACAAGGTGTTGTCATGGTCTCAACATACTTAAACGTTGCTAAACCCAACTCTGGAATTAATAATTCGAATGTCTATCACGTATCCCACTCTAAACGTGTCCAGTTTTCCAGATCGCTGTCTTCTTCCAACCAGGGGATGTCTGATCTCTCCTATATTCTATATGTATATAATGTACAAATATGCATATACAAGAGATATAGACGGATACATGTATGTATCATGTACCTTACTTTGGGGTTTAAGGTGGCAGTTGGGGGGACCGGCATGTGAGATCTGATTCTTCTTTTAAAAAATAACTGTTCAGTTATAGGCAAGGAAAGGGGATGCACTTTGATGCCTCATGAAAAATGTTAGCCTAGTGAACAGAAGCAGAAGGTAAACAGAAACTAAAGGAGCAAAAGATTTTTGTTTTCTTCTCCAGGCACTGGCTGGAGGCTTCTCTTTGGGACCCGGGCAAACTGGAAACAAGGTACCTGTCTTGTGCGCCAGCCTCCGGTAGCCTACACCTCAGGAATCGCCATTCCTCATACCCACAAAAGGGGTGCGCGTGTGCGCGCCATGTAGATGCACCTCCACCCAACCCGCCCCGCGGTTCCGAGGGACAGCTGAGTCCCAGGAGCCAGGGCTCCGGAAGGTGCGCCTGTGGGCCAGGGAATAGCCTCTGTCCCTCTCGAATCCCCCCATCGCCCGCTTCGGACGCGCTTTGCCAGGAGGGCGAGCAACTTACTTAACATATTGGCTTCATGGGAGCCATTGACTTTGCCATCCGGGTAGATCTGCAGATGGAAACCGATGCCCACTCTGCAGTAGAGGCTGCCGGTCCGGCGCCCCGAGGGGCTCCACTGGAAACTGCTCTGCTCCAAGCCGCTTCCTTGGTTGCCCAGAGAAGCCGAGGGGGAGGAGGAGACGGAGGAAGAAGAGGAAGACGTCGTGCCCCTGCTGCTCCTACTGCTGCTGGCGCCCGCCGGGTTCCGACCGGTGGCTGCGGGTCCGGGTTGCCCTTTGGGGGCGAGGTGCTTCTCCCCGTGAGCCCAGGCGCTGAGGATTAGGTGGCTGAGGAAGAGGAGGAGGAGGGACAAGCTCATTCTTCCAGCCGCGGGGGTTCTAAGTGCATCTTGTAGGGTTGGTTCTGGGCTCCGTAGCCCCCGCGCGGCTGCGTGCCTCTGGCGCTGCCCCCCTCGCCGCACCGGGTGGACATAGCCTCGGGGAAGAGAGGGAGGGAGAGAGAGAGAGGCCACTCGAATGGATCTCGGCGCAGGAACTGGGATATTTATAACGCCAGTGATCTCACTGCTTGGTGCACGCCTGCGAAGCTTCCCCTCACCCGCCGCTTTGTGTACTCTCTGGCCGGTGCGGGGAGGGAGCTTCGCTGTCCCGGGGGCGGGGGGTGTGGAGGAGGGAGGAGATGGGAGCGAGTGAGTGGGAGGAGAAGCCGGGCGGAGAGGAGCTGTACCCCGACGCTGGGCACGCGCAGACCGGGGCCACGCACCCCAGCAGTTCTCACGCGCCGCACCGCCACCCTCCCACCGGAGCCAACGGCGCGGAATTCACCTCCGCGCGAGCATGGGAGTCTTCCAGGGGGCAGCAGCAGAAATGGGGGGGGGTGGTTTAAACGTGGAAGTGAGTTCCTGGACTCTCCCACCTCTGCTGCACGCCTGCGTCCCCGGAACGCACTCTCGCCTACCCAAGACCAGATTTCCAGGTTCCCTTCCCGTTGCCCCGCAGACCCTGCTAGCACAATCCTGGCCCTGGGAATCTCTCCGGAACAAAGTCCGGCCGTGAGAATCCCAGCGCTTCGAAGTGCTTGCGGTGGGGAACCAAACCAAGATTCGCAGTCCAACTTGGGAAGCCTTTGGTGCGGCGCGGCTGGAGGAGAAGGCTGTTGTTGCCTCTAATGTATTTAACGGGCTTGTTTGGTACTTAGAGAGCCGCCCTGAGCCATTAGGCCACAATTCGAGTTGCTTTTCTATTGGAAACTCTGGGTCACGCTAAACATTATGCCGAATTTGTTTTTCCGTATGGGAAGTTTTCGGTCTGTGTCCGAGAGGGTGAGCGCACATGCACACCCGCGCTCACAGCAGGGCAAGATGGGCAGGTCTGGGCACCAGCACATGTGGCTGACTGTCCAGTTGTCCTCTCTCACCCCAGGATCCCCTTAGCAGGAAGGATTAGCTAAGGGCTCGCTGCGGCTTACTCAGAGCTGCAGTTGACTGAAAGATCGACCCCAATGAATGATTAATGATGCGCGCTCTGGGTTTCAGGAAACCTGAGAACAGAGAATTTCCATGTATGCAATGCCCCTTCTGTCATTTATCTGAGAAATATACCTGACTTGCATTCTTGGGATATTTCTGTCTGAAAACATATTTGGAGCTTTAAACTACACTCCGATACATTATTCATTGGTCATTTTAATGAAAAGGCCGTGATTTTGACCTAGAAGGTCAATTCACATAAGCCAAGGTTGATGTCAAGATGCGGCCTTATCCATTATTGAACACCCATTTAAAGGTTCCTATCTCGATAATGAAAAGCTTATAAAACGCGTGTAGATTTTTCAGGATTGGAAATATTCCATGACTAGAATACTTAACATCAAGGCAGCTGTGACACAGGAAGTCACCTGTGCAGTACAGTGAAGCCACTGTGGGGAAAAAAGGTCATATCACAAATGGGTGTGCATGACTTGAATACATGCCACTGACACACTCTGAAAGATGCTGTTCGGGGCTGAATGCCCTTTCTCTTTCCACTGTTCTAGTCTCAAGCTCTATGCTTCCGGCTTTAACTAGTGTGGGCAGGCAGACATTGGGAACAGACGTGGAGTCCCTCAGAACGGTGTACTTTACTGAAGTAGTCTCTTTCCTGAGTGAATGATTATGGGATGCTAACCTGAGCACTGTGCCTTCTGCAAGGTGATGCCCTTGGTTCTGTGACAAGCTGTCAATTAAAGGCCCATAGTGGCGCTGGATGCCATCAGTAAGTTCCCTTTCCTGTCACACAGTCTATCCCATGCTTCAAGGGGCGAAGATTTTCCAAACAAATCCAGTTGCTTGTTTCTCCTCCTCCTCTTCCCTAGGAGTCTGCTGAAAGAGCTGGAGTATCTCCTGCCCCAGACTCACTGCTATAAGCCTCTTCCCCAAACCTGGGGAGCCAAAAACCACTAGGCTGAGCTTCTGGAGACTGAGATTTGGCCTCTTGTCTGTCTTTCTTTCTTTCTTTCTTTCTTTCTTTCTTTCTTTTTCTTTCTGCTTCTCAAGTTACACCCCTATGGAAACAACCGTTCTTGTATCCATCCCTCTCTTCAGCTGCAAGATTCCAGGAGAAGATCAAACTTTTGCCTAGGGATGAGCCAGGAAAGCCAAGACACTTGCTTGAGCCTCAGTCCACCTAAACCTGGTGGCTGGCAAGTTTCACTTAGACTTCCTCTGGGGTCCGAGGGGAAGACTTTAGGAAGAGCCAAGTGTTTACGACAGAAGTGACCGACTCTTGTGGGCAGGGATTGAATTTGGCAGCCAGACTCGGTTCTTTTCAACTCTCCTGGATACTGGGGCAGAAGTAGTTCTTTTGGGGGGGGGGGGGGGGGGGGGGGGGGAGTAGTGCGGGCTTAAAACCGAATCCTCGTGGCGTGCGCAAGAAAGCAGGGTGGAGGCCACTGAATTTTTAAAATCTATAAAACAGGATTAAACGTGTATTTGAGTCATTAAAACACACACACACACACACACACACACACACACACACCTGCAGGAGCTGAACAGTGAAAGAAGACTGACAATGCACGTGATCGGGGCGCGAAACCGGCAAGCCGCCTCCTCCACAGCTTGGCAGAGGCAGGAACCATCACCCTGCGCTCCTGGGCTGCGCCGGCCCTGACCCGCGCCTTGCCTAACCCGCGCGCGGTTCGTCCCGCTGCGCGTCTGCTCACAGCAACTGTGCGGTCGGAAAAATGCTCATTTCACCTTCTCCACTACTCCGGGCTATATACTCCTCCAAACTCCACTCAAACAGAGTGCGAGTCACTTTTTGTCTGGTTACTTCCGGGATCATCGAAAGCGCCCTGGCTGGAGACATCCCTGTGGTCCACGCACTAGCCTCGGAGCCTGGTCAAGGTCTCCTGGGCGCTGGCAGACGCGCGCCCACGGCCAGTACACGGTGCTGTCCTTAATTCCCCCATTCTCCAGGCCCCAAACGCGAGGACCAGGAGAAGGTGTATGCCGCTGGCTACCTGCAGAGGTAAAGCAAACGGTCCTCAAAGACTAGTTTCCACTCATCGCCACCCGACGTGGAACCGAAAAACGAATCCACAGGTTAGTGGGTCCCACCACTTACGCGCCGGGTTCCCAGTGCGCTGGCGTCAGCTAAGTCCTCCACCCCTTTCCGGGTTACCTGCCACTGCCCCCATCAACCGGAAGTCACTTTCTGCAGCTCTTAAATCCTTCAGCTTCATGGTCGGTGGCCCCGCCACCTCAGGACCACCTCTTGTAGCCCCAGCACACGAGCTTTCTTTCTAGGCCTTTCCTAGTTGTGTCTGGGAAACCAGGTGGTGAATTTCTCTTACGTCTTCTGCAGCTCTAGATATGAACCAGTCACTCGCGACAGGAATCATAAGCTGTCTCCTCAGGCTGACAACCAAAAGCCTAAGGAGAGAGAGAGATCAGGGCAAGAAAGTCAATGCCCAGGCTTCCCTTCACCAAAGGGACATGCTCACTATTTACAACCTTCCTCTGGTTGTAAACAGAGGCCAGAGTTTCCAGTGGCCAGCACTGGGAGGTAAGGCAGTGTCTGGTCCATACTACCTGTATGGTGCTGAGACAGGGGAAGGACAAGAGGTAAATACTGGGATAGGGTGAGCAGTCCTGGGCAGTGCCAGCTCGAGTCCTGCGAGGCTCTCCAGTCTGGGAACCAGAATGCCACCCTCCCAGCAGACCTGCACAGGCTGTTGTTCAGAGAGCCTCAGTGGCACCAAATCTCTGTTCTGGAGGTACCACACTCTGTGAGATTTGCCTCGTCTGAGGTTTGTTACACTGGCAAGCAAGGACAGGTTTTCTTTGTTTGATCCAAGGACACAAGAGCCCAGACGTTTTCAGAACGTTTTCATAACGTTTTCATGAGTAAGCTGCTTGAACCTGGCCCTAAAGCACCCTGTGGCCCTCCCTCTCTATTCCTGCCACCCTTCCACACACTGAGAGACTGTATCCAGATAGATAGCAGGACCACTTTTTGCTAACCAGGTCCCCGATGACCCTCCAGTGACTTCTAGTTCCATACATTGTTTAATGGAGGCACAGTGGTATTGTGGGAGGAGTCAGGAGTTGACCCTGTTGGGGCCTTCAGTCTATGCTCATGCCAGGACCCTCTCTTTCCTCCAGGCCTGGCTTCTCACCAGCCAAGTTGGCAGCAACTACATAACAAATAGCCTGTGGCTGAAGGAGCAGGGAGCAGGCTGAGAAGGGTGGGAAGGCACTGTGTGGGAAGGAAACAAAGACAGAGTGCACAGACAGGGTGGCAATGGTGTGGTCAGAAATTCTGCAGGTCCTGAGATTAGAGCTCTTCCTCTGTCTCCAGCATCTATTACTTCCCTCTGAGGAGGCAGTTGTTTTGAAATGGCCACAGACAGCTGGTCTTTTCTATTTCTTGTGGAGTCAGAAAGCAAAGCAACTTTTGCCAGTAGAAGTGGGTCTTTTGTGATCTGAATTGACTCAATGAAATCAGTTACCTTTCCTAAAAAAAAAGAAAAAGAAAGCTCAACTATAAAGCTCAATTCAGGTGCCCTCCAACTAACCTAGTGACTCTTGGTTTTTTAGCTTCTGATGAATCCCTGCGCTGAATCCCAAAGCACTTCCAGGGACCCAGGTCCCTTAGCACGTAATATCCAATTGCAGGGAAATCACTGCCCCTCTTCCTGTTGGAAAATGCCCCTAGCCACAGAAGATGAAACATGAGGTTCCTTGTGCTTATTACACAAGAGTACAAAAAACATGTATATTTTTAAAGATCATGTCACCATCCCTTCCCCAAACAGGGCCCATTCTGCCCTTTGTAACAGGTTTTGTTCCTGGCACATTCTGCATTTAATCATGTTTACAGAGGCCATTCTGAGCACATTTGGAGAGACACGATTCCTCAGTCTTATTTCCCCACGCAAAGTGTGTTTGGTGGTAAGAAGAGTGGGGAATCAGAGACTTCTCATCTATGAGAGGGAAAATGGTGAAGCAGCATTCCTGCTCTTAGAATCACCCTCGCATTCTGGATGTTTGGTTTGTATCCAGAGAGACAGGCCATAAGCAAATGGGCACTCATTCAAGAAAAAATGAGGGCGGGGGATCGAGAGAAAGGAAGCACAGT